ACACACACACACACACACTCCTTCCAGAACTCTGAGCTCATAATTGCTCTCACTTATATAATCCAAAACCTCAAAGTTCAGAATTTCAGTCTAGATGGTAAACACCTTTCAAGCAGGGCCTTTGCTTTTATTCATCTTTGTATTCCTAGGTTCAAGTATGGTACCAAGTACCTAAAATGTGTTCAACAAATGTTAAATGAAGCTAGAGTATACAACATGTTCAACAGAAACACCAACTGGAAGAGAAAAATCCTATTAATCTCTATTGCTCCTTGCACTTCTAATGGTAGTAATCTTTGTAACTATCTGGTCAGCTGGAGGAAAGAAGCAAAGTTCTAGACGCTTTGAATGTGAAGACAGCCGCCCCAGAAATGGCAGGGATTCTTGTTGTGCAAAGACATGAGTACATACCAGAATTTAACACATCCTGCAAAGAGTGAACCTTGAGCTCAACAGCTACAACTCATAGCAGGCACTACAAACCTACATGTTGCAATACCACAAATACCCAAATACCATAAAAATAGACATAATCCAAATTACTAACACCAAAAATTTTCCAAAAATATACAAAAATGGGTCTTCTGTGGAAATATACCTCAATTGTATAATAGTAAACTAATAAGTTAAATAGAAATTGCTTTCTAAATTCACCTCAAAAGACAGCTTTTCTTAGATGTATTTATTCCATAAGCAAAGGATATACAAGAACTGTAGAATAAGACGATACAGACCTACAAAGCACCTGAGTTCCAGGAAAACGAGCACAACATATAAAAGCAAAATTAAGTCTCAAAGCAATGGACTAGGATTGGATGCTAGTCCTGGCGTTGTTTCCAGCCTAACCTGAAGAAAAAAATCTGTATCTGTGCATGAAGGGTTATTAGGGTCAAAGCTACCTATTGAAAAAGTTATGCAACATATACTCAAATACTATTTTCTATCAGAAAGTACTAATAGGTCGATACCTGCATCACACTGCCAATAATACAGGCCTACCTGACAACTGCACTCATACTTCTGTGTGGTGGAAGCGTCAATTACTATTTAAGCATTTCCTCCTTTACTTTTAACTCTGGCCAGAGTTCATTACCACCACTCAGCACACTTTCCATTTCTTTCCCTCTCCTTATAATATTCTTTCCCTCTCCTTATAATAGAATCCAGCTGCTCACGCAAGGAAGGTCAATTTAATGCTTTAACACCCAGTATACCAGTGAAAGGATAACTGTCTAGCTGCCCCTATTCACTTATATCAAGTTCTTTAAAAAGACATGACTTGGCCCAAGGAGGCAATATCTCCTTGTAAGAATTATGACAATAATTGAATATCTGAAACTATGAATGCATGAGGAAATGTTTTTATCTTTGAAATATACTACTTCATTTACAGAAAGTTAATGTGTGAAGATTTAGTTTCCAAGTGCAATCTTTTAAATTAATGTTTATTTTTTATTATTTTAAAATTTTATTCTTGGTTATTTTGCACAAAAGGCAGGAGGGGACTAAGTTTGCGTCAACTACAAGGAAAGCCAAAGTTCAGCAGGCGTATCTGAACCTTGCACTCACTTCCAGTTGTTAAATTTATCTTGACCTTACAAAAGGGTTTATTATAGAAATGATAGTATGATGATTTCCTAAATCCACAGACGAAGACTCACACCATCTACAGGAGAGATACACCCTAGTGATGAACCCAAACTTAAAAGATTGATTTTTATGAGCTACACATTTTTTGTCCTCTTAAAATGATTCCAAGTTCTAAATTGCACTCAGTGAAGAAACTGACCAAATTTTATAGGGGAAATCTCTTGTAAACAGGTAGGACACCTTTTGCAGGCAGTCAGGAAGCACTTGAATGTTACCTCAAAAACTGTATAAGTAACAGTATGTATGGCTCACTGACACTTCACACATGTAAAACACTCATGTTACAAAAAAGTACTACCTCTTAAGTGAGTGGCCACCCTTCACAAGCAAATTGCAGCAAATTGCCTAAGGAAATACCCCCAAAGAACATAATTAGAAGTAATTACCCGGCCTGGAAATGTGCTTTTGTTTTAGAAACTGTCTAAATACCGGCGGGACTTTCTCTTGCCCAAATCCAGCCTGAGGACAACAAATTGGTCAACGGCGGAAGTTGCCTGACGAAATGACTGCAACATGAAATCCAGTTTTATGATCATAACAAAACCTTCCTTCCGGGGCCAGGCAAAAACACACACACACACACAGACACACGAAAAACTTGAGAAAAAGTCCTTTTGGATGCAACAGGCAATTATGAGCCCCCCCACCCCCACCCCCACCCCATCCCGCCCCGCCGCCAACCAGAGAGAAACAACTCGGCCCTCGGCCCGAGGGACCCGAGACCCGGGAGGACGTGCAGCTCCCCGTTAGAACCTCGGAGGGGCCGCACGGGCCGGGCACCCCGCCCGCCTGCAGCCTGGCCGCTCCTGCACCTCCCTCGGCCCCCGCGGCCGCCCGGGCATCAGCACTGACCTTCCGCAGGGCCGAGACCAACAGTCCCCGCCATTTCGGACTGTTCTCTTCGCTGAAGAACTCGTACGGCTGCGGCGCCTGCTGCATGGCCCCGGCGGCAGCTCCTCCGCATCGGGGGCAGCCCGCGGGCCGAGCCGGGCCGCTCGGGTGGCCTGACAGGCAGGGCGCGGGCCGGCTTGCCTCGCCAGCCGCCGCCGCCTCCCGCCTGGGCCGCAGCTACGGCCGAGGCGGCTCGGAGGCGGCGCCGGCGGGCGGGAGGGAGCTCTGGGGGCGGCTTCCTCGGCCCGGGTGGCCTTGCCTTGCGCAGCGTCCGCAGAGGAAGCGCGGCGGCCCCTGAGCCGGGGAGACACTCCGGCTGCTACCGAGGCGGCGGCCTCCTTTCCCGGCGGCGTTGCCCGCTTCTCGGGCGGCTCCTCCTCCTTTGTCTGGGTTCGCAGCCCGGCGCGGCTACGGCTGGCCTCGCCCTCGTCCTGACTCCCGCTACGGCGGCGGCGGACGGACAGCGGCGGCGGCTCTTCTCATCGCCTCATCCCCGCCCTCCCAACAGCAACACCGTCCGGGCCGGCCTGCCGGAGTCACCTCCAGAGGGCCCAGGGGACCGACCGGGCGTGTGCGTTGGGTAAGCAAGCCACACTCTGGCGCACACAGTGCTGGCGACCGTCGCCGCCCCTTCAGCAGCCGCTCACAGTTCCCCAGGGCCGCCGCCGAGCTCTGGGTCCCAGCAGTCGCGGCTCGGCCCGCCCCCTCGGCCCGGCGCTCATTATTATCCCGGGTCGCCGGAGAAGTTCAACACCGAGCATGCGCGCTGCGGCGCCGGCACAGGCGCCGGCCCGGCGCGGGGGCGCGGAGACGCGGGGGCCCGGCCGTGGGAGTCTCTCTCCCGGGGACTTGCTGGGAGCTTGTTCCAGACAGACTACCCAACTTACTGCGTTTTACACAGACTCTCGCTTCTCTCCACCTTCTCAAGACAGTTCTGACTCGGTGCCACCCCTCGAGCGCCAGGACTTAAGTCGTGGGAAGCTGTATAGGGATGTGGCGAGAAAGGGGCATTAGAGCTTGACACGATATTTAGCGTATTTGTGTTCTACGTGGGTGTACTATATATAGGACATAATAACTATTTCATAGAGTGGTGTGGGGACTGAAGGAGGTGAGGCGTGGAAAGCCCTTGTCACACAGTAGGGTCAGAAAAGGCAGGTGACAATGACGTTAATGAAGCTTGAACTTAAAGATCCTTCACTTGCACGGTCCTCTATGTGTTCACAAAATCATATCGTTTTTGTACCACTTTCCAAAGATTTTTTGAATTGTTTTCTTAATGATGTCCAAATTGTGTAGGCGTCAGGTCCCACAAAACCAGAATCCGCCCTTTGGGGCCCAGCCGTATTCAATAGCAACCCCAAAAAGATCCCCAGACTGTAAGCTTTTCTGAGTTGAAGAGGCATGGACTCTGAAAACTTTATCATTAGTATAAATTTTATCACACCAAAGATGCTGAGCACGTAAATCACAATAGAGTGAGGCCACCAGCAGTGAGGAAAGGAAAGGAAGAAGATGGTGCAAAAAAATGTCTGTGCTTCACTTTAGTTCCAGGATCAGTAGCTGAGCAATTATCATCCTCCTCTAAAACACGCACCATTTTGTCATTTGGGCAAAATCAGAATGGCAGAGTTAAAGCTGGAAAACTTAAGAGATCATTTTTCTAATCCAAGTATCTACTGAATCAAGAATGTCTTCTAATGGCAACATCCACATTCCCATATCCTGGGGATAAAAAGTAGGATAGTGAAATGCTTGTATTTCTCCAATTAATCTTCCAATCAGTGAGGGCAAAAACTTTGGTTTACATAGAGTATCTTTACTTTTCTCTCTTCCTGAACTCCAACCATAAACTACTAAGCTGTCAAACTGCTAGACTGTGATTGTATTTTCTTATAGGAGAGTAAAATTGTTAGTGGGAAGTTTCATTCTTGGCCAAGGATATTGGAAGCCTTCTCTAGGCCAAATCTGGCTTGGAGACACATTTTGTATATCCAAGGCTGTATTTAAATTTTAAAAATTTTGTTAACATTTTGAAATCAAGAGATTTCATACATCTGTATTGCCAGCTTCTCTTGACAAAGATCTGGCAACACTGGGCCCTGCTGCATTCCTGCAAGGGAATAATCAGCAGGCCGTGGATAGAGGCTGCTCTCTTTAGAAAAGTATGCCATCCCATTTCCAGTTGGCTATATTCCCCACCTGGCACTCTTCACCCTTTTATGTAACCTGCCTAGTCTCTACAGGCATCTGAGTTGTGATCTCTGGGCTAGGCAAACAGAAATGTGATCCACGTGCTTGTGGAGGATAATCCAAGAATGACACCAGTAAAAAGTTCCCAGACAAATGAGCCATCTAGAAAAAAATGATGGATATATACCCTCCATAACTCTACACTAGAATAAATTCCAGATGTCAAAGATTTAAATGGAAAAAATAAAACTATAGTATAATTTGTTTATAACTTGAGTACAAACTGCCTTTCTACTATGATATAAAATCTAGAAAATTGATACGTTCTTTTTAAAAATATATATGGCAAAAACAAAAAAACACAAGCTAAGCAAATGACAAACTGGAAAAAAATATTTGCAACACATTTCCTAAAGAGTTAATATCCCTAATATCTTAGAGTTCCTACAAATTAATAAGACTAAGACTCAGAAAAAAAGGATAATATGAAAAGACAGTTCACAGAAAAGGAAATATCTTTTAAACATATTAAAGATGCTCAACTTCACTCATGTTATGGAAAATGCAAATTTAAATTATACTGTTAGCATTTTCACCTATTTGAACTGCACACATCAAAAAGTCTAATTATATACTATGTTGGTGAGAGTATGGGGAAACAGGTACTCTGTTATTGGTGAGAGCGTAAATTGGTTCAACCTCTATCAAGAACAACTTGACAATATATATGAAAGTTGCAAAGGCACATTCCCTTTGACGCAGCAAATTCTAGGAATGTGTCCAAGGTATACTTGCTCAAATGTGAAATAACTTAGCACAAGGTTATTCATTGCAGTAGTTTGTTACAGCATAAACAAAACAAAAATACCCTAGAAATAAACAACTTAAATAATCGTCGGTAGGAATAAGGGACTGGCTCAACAAATAATAGTAAATCCATAGAATGGACCTATAAAGTCATTTAAAAAGAACCAGGCCGCTGTGTTGTGTTCAGGCCTCTTGGACATTCTCAAAGATACACTACACAGAGAAAAGAGCAGGACATACAATATAGTACTTACAGTATTCTACCATTTATGTAAAAATAAAAAAAGGCAGTATTTTATTATCTATAAACATAGTGTCTCTGCAAAGCTGTAGAAGATGGTGACAATTCTTGTTGTCTCAGGCATGAGGACTGGGTGTACATTTTTGTGACATTTGAATTTTAAACCATATGAATGTTGTACTTATTCAGAACATTAAAAGTCATTTTTTTAAATGAAAAATTTCTAACCTTATTATAAGCACCTGCTTCAAGTGTTAAAAATGGAAGTATTAAACACACTGATACTGTAAGGGGAAAGGCCTATGATATATAACAAAAAGCTCCATCAAATTTGAGTTAAAATTAATATGCTATCATAGGAATACTTTGATAGTAATTTAGTCTTTTTAGAATTTAGAATGGCTTTTGGGAGATAACTTGAATGACCCAAGCACATCTCAAATTTTAAAAGGCAGTTAAAATTTTACCACTAGTGTTCTCCCACTGAAAACATTTTGGAGAAGGTCATACTCAACATTTCTCCCATTTACAATGTACTTCCTCAATTTATTTAAAGCTACAAGTGCTGCCAGTCAGTAGCAAACCAACGCAACACCACAGGAAACAATAAATGTCGTTGTCACTCACTTTCATGGTTCGTTGATGTAGCTAACTTTGGTTCTTATAGTCCACCTGCCAGAAAGAAGTTGGGGCAGGTACTCAGATCATTTGCCCTGTAATAGGAGGCTCATGCCCAGATGACCGACCCCCTGTAAAAGATAGCATACCAAAAATGTTTTCCCAAGAACTATAATTTTTAATGAAATCCAGATTTATTTATTGGATTCCCACAACCCTGAAATGCAGTGTGTCTATATATTATATACATTCTGCTATGGAACAGAAATAATGTTCCCTGGTGCTCTGTGGTATGAAGATGACACTGAGGTCAGCCAGATATTGCCACTACTACCAGATGGAAAGCCATTTTTGTAAGTGGAGAAGAGTTCCAATTTTTACCAAAAATCTTGTAAACTACTCTACCTCATTTTTATACACAAATACAGAAGATCTTTTTAAAGATTGGCTGCTATCTAAAGCTATGATTGTTCAAGTTTTATACCCCAAAACTTTATTTGAATCAGTTTTTATGAAAACTAAAAATTATGCTGACAACACCAAGGCTCATCAAAATATTTTTAATATTAATATACATTTCTCTCTCAGAAATACACAAAACTTTAAAAAATTACATCAGTATTACACAATAAAACCCTACTGACATAAATACAAAATGTTTTACAAACAGAATAACCTACACATTCAGAACACTTTCAATAATTTTTTCCATTTGTATTTTAGGGGGGTACAGTACAGACCCGCATGGAATAAGGGTTGCTTTAATTAGGACAGTTATTTTTGTAATTTCAGTCTTTCACAGCTTAGTGCATATGCAATCTTACTATCGATGAAATAGAGAATTGTAATATTTTTCATCTCTTAATAATCTTGTAATGGAACGGAAAAATGTCCTGTGTCACGTTTCTTGGAGGAATCAGTTGTTTTGAAGAACCATTAGGGTTTGTTTCTTCTGTGAACGGTTTCTGAATACTTTCAATATGCTCACCCAGGTTTTGAATAATTGCCTAGTCTATTTACCTGGGATATGTTGCTTCTTGAACGTGAGCTGATGATGTGTTGCCTTTCAAGTTAATGGATGAGGTAGCTCAGTCAATGTAATCACTGAGGCTTGAAGTGAAAAGGAAGAAAACAGAAAAGTTTTTCCTATCAACCAAAATGCATATCCTTCTAACTCATCCATCACACAGCTTTGGAGTGATAAAAGGAAAGAAAAACTGAAGAGTGGAAGATTAATCCTGACAGAGTATATGTGAGGGAATGGATGAATATATCTCACCTAAATGGTGGTTCTGTAATAAAAGTTTCCCCTATCAGTAGGCTGTCATATTTTCATTTATATTTCTATTTTCCAACTTTCTGAACTGCAAGAATATTTTCAACAGGTACCATACACATATATACAGTATGGTGCTGGCCAACAATTTAAAACACTCATGCAATACCCATGAATGTAAGGCACTTTTGCGGTTTACAAAAGTGAATGCCTCAAAGTTAAGTATGAAGAAATATCCTCATAAAAGTCTATGGGATCCCTGAAAAACCAAGTAAGCATGAATCATTAAGTGATCTTGGCCAACATTTGAGAACCTTGGTGTAACTGAAGAACAGAGACATAAGAGGTAAATAATTTTTTAACTTATAGAGTTCTGTATATCAGTGCCAGGATTCTAAAACTGCTCTCATAAAAACCTATCAATTCTCAGTGCTTTTATTTTCTCAACCACAGAAAACAGACGAGTTGGCAACAACCATTCATAGTGTACTGCTGTTCAGATATAGTGATGACACCACACCAAGTTTATATAGAGAGACTGTGAATAATAAAGGCTTTGAGTTTCTCTGCAAAATTAATTCTTAAGAATATTATAGCTGAGATGAATTTTATTCAAACTACTTAAAAATGTGAAACTTCATGTATTTTTTAATGAAGAATTTTAAATTCCCAAATACAAACACTGTTGCTCTAAATGTGGGCTTTTCTATGATTGTTCAAAATTAAAAGGTTTGCAACCTACATTTTCTTGTCTACAAGAAACAAAAAAGCTTAGATATTCTAAAGCCAAAAAGTTAAGGGGATAAGCAATTTTTTTAGGCCATCATTCCCCCAAATTGTAAAAGAGTCAAATCTCTAGATCATGGCTGGTGAGGACAGGTCATTAACAAAGTCAGGGATTCAGGACAGATAGAACTGTACCATTCCTCTTTATTCTCAAAGTATAAAAGCCTAGACTAAAACAAAATTATTATTTCTATGTTACACCATTTTAACAATTTAGTGGTTATGCAAATGAGATCTAAAAATCATATTTTCAGACCATTTTTAAAATTAAAGAATGCATTCATGTTGCTGAATGTAGAGATTAAAATGCATACCTAACTCCTTTTACTATTTACAATTTAAATCTTTGTTGCACTTCATCTGCAATCATTCCAGAAATTGCAAGGGAAGATGTGGCAGCAGGGGAAGGTGCATTTCTCACATGCAGAATGCGATTTCCAATTACCCCGACTCCTCCATCAAATACAAAATCTTCTACTAGATTTCCATCTCTATCCAGGGCTTGGGCTCTTACACCAGCTGGACCTCTGCAAAACCAAGAGTGGTAGTCAACTGACTGGAAGATAGGACGCTTTACAAGTCAGTAGTTTCAAAGTATTCTTAAAGCAATAAAGTCTTTATTCTTCTAAAAGCACAGTCATGTGGAAATCCAATAGGGTTATGTTTAGCCGAAGGCTGTCAGTTGTAGCCTGTAAAACTTACATCTTCAGCCTAGAGCGTAATACCTGCCACATAACAGTGCCAATATATGCTCATCAAATGAATATGCAAACGGTAAGCTAATTATAAATATCTGTTCTTTCCCAAAGGAACAGATAAATCTGTATTTAATTAGAAAAGATGTATTTTTATTTAAATGTATAAAATGAATTTATTATAAAATCAATCAATGGGAATAATAAAGCTCTTCTGATTAATACACAGCAATGAAAGCAGGATGCATGTCAGTTATATTCCTATATCCGGTACAGAATTCTGTGTGTGTGTGTGTGTGTGTGTGTGTGTGTGTGTGTGTGGTTTTGATTGTACACTATTAAAATTTACGGAGAAAAATATTTTCAAATGGCAGCAAGTTCATGTTTTGTAGTTTGTTCTTATTTTTAACAGTTTAGCCTTGAATACCAGGGTAACCTTCAGTTAATTAAAGAGATGACAGGAAAAGCATAAAAATGAATTAACTTGGCAGCATAGTTAATACAGTAAGAGCCTTTACTACTAAAAGTTGTTTTTATAACACTTGAGTTTACAAATTAGATTAAAAATTTTTTAAAATAATTTAAAATTTTATAGATGAAATTTGAATAAAATATTTTTGGAATTCAAAAGCACCTTCATTGAAACTATTCAAGAAAACCCAATTTGAAAACAGCTGCCTTATACACACCACCAAGACTCAAGAAATCAGGCAACAGGGCCGGCTGAGTGGCGTGATGGTTAAGAGCTGGCTTGGGACGCCAGAGGGCCCCAGTTTGGATCCCACATATGAGGGCCAGTGACATTGCCCTCTATAGCTAAGATGCTGAACAACAGCTTAACCTGGAGCTGGGCTGCCATGAGTTGCCAGCAGCTGCAGTGAGCGGCTGTCCAGAAGCCGGCGACTGATCTGCCTCACCCGGGGAAGAGTGCAATGATGGTGCCAACTTGGGCCAGTGAAGCAACGTCCTCCACAACTAGACTGAAGAACAAAACGACAGCAACTTGTCTGTTCCCCTTCCCCCAATTCCCCAGCGCTGTTCCCATCCCCCCAATTCCCCAGTTAAAAAAATCTTAAAAAAAAAAAAGAAATCAGGCAACAATATTAAATATTTTTATTGATTCTGGGCCAATGCAGATAAGGAAGATACAAAGAATAATATGAGAGCACTGCCCTTTAAGATCTCAGCTTGGCTGAAGAGAGAGAATGATAGTAATAGCTATTATTTACCAAGTGTTTACTCTGTGGTAGGAATTCTCTCACTTAATCCTCACAACTCTAAGTGGCGATACAGTTTATATTTAACAGCAAAGAAACACAGAGTGATTAAGTAACTTGCCTGAAGTTACAAGGCTATACTCTTCATTTGTAGAAAGGTAAATAAGGATTACAACAAGGGTGAAAGGTTCTATAATAAAGGTGAGTAATCTGCTCTACAGGAGCCTGCAGGGAATCTAGACAAGAGATTTTTGAGCGGTAAGGATTTCTGAGTAAGATCAAATATAACAGAACACAAAAAGACAGCATGGGACTGAAGCTGAACTTTCTTAGGGTAAGGATACATATCAGTGTATCAGTCAGTGTGTGGTCCATTTTGTATATTCTGTATTTGTAGCTTATCTCACTTCATCAAAACAGCATTTCTCCCCTTTTGTACAATGCTGCTGTTTCTGTTGAGAGCATCTCTATGAGTTTCCTATCCCTCTCCTTTTATCTGGCAGAAGGCCAACATGTAGGGGACACACAGTGGCATGACCATCCACTGATGTTGAGTGTTCAAAGTAGCACATTCCTCTTACTCCTTCTAAACAAATAGAAGTTAATACTGATTAACTACAGTTAAAATGTGTCTACTTATTTATTTTGCTTATGAACACCAATTATGTTCTCAATTTCCCTATATTCCTGCCCAAGTGTTCCAGACCTATAGTCCATACTGTAAAAAATATATAATATTAATTTTTTCTAAGGATCTCACTTTAGTTCGAACTAAAGTTACTGTTTAACATGAAATTTTCAAACTACCAAACTCTTCATATTCCCTACTCAGCACTTAATGCAACTTCAGGGTTTTTCTTTGCATTTTTACATATAGGCATTCCCCCTCAGACTACCTCAGTTTGAGATGAGTGTTATAATTTGAAATTTCAGGTAAGATTAACCATAAATGTTTTGAGGGCCAGGACAGCATCTGTACACATCCCTTTTTCACCCCCATGTCTAGATTTGTGCCTTGTACATAGTGAGGCTAGAAACTTTTAATTTTTTAACTTCTAATTTTTTAAAAATTTTTTATTAGGGAACAGTGTGTTTTTCCAGGACCCATCAGTTCCAAGTCAAGTTAGTTGTTTAATCTAGTTGTGGAGGGCACAACGCAGTGGCCTATGTGGGGATCAAACCGGCAATCTTGGTGTTAAGAGCACTGTGCTCTAACCACCTGAGCTAACCAATCGTCCCTTACCTTCTAAATTTTAAAAATTCTATTTTAATAGTCAAAATAACAAGTGGGGCGGCCAGATGGCTCAGTTGGTTGGAACGCGTGCTCTGAGCAACAGGCGTGCTGGTTCGACTTCTGCTTGGGGTGGCGGGCTGCACCCGCCACAACTAGATTGAAGATGGCGACTGGACTTGGAGCTGAGCTGTACCCTCCACAACTAAGATTGAGGGACAACCACTTGACTTGGAGTTGATGGGTCCTGGAGAAAACACACTGTTTCCCGAAAAAAGCCGCATTGTTCCCCAAAAAGTTTTAAAAATAAAAAAAATAAAGAACAAATGATTCAGCAAATTTAATATTTATGAATTCAGCCACATTTAATTGTTTAGTGCTATTTGTAGCCAATGTATTTTACTATATTCGTAGCTAAATTTAATGGGAATGTACATCCTAGACACTTAAGTATGTCCGGAAACAGCTGAATATATAACTCATGGCATTAATTCATCTGAGAAGCGTTTTTATTTATTATTTTATTGTTCTGTGGCCAGCATTATCATGTGGCCTGAAAAACAGCTATGACAGGCTATACCTGACATCTTTGGCCAGTTCCAAATAGGTAAATTTAGTATTTTATAAAACTCACCATAGGATCTATTGTTAATCTAAAAGTAGAAGTTCATATGAGTATATTTAAATTGGGAATGGTGGAATAGGGAAAGTAAACCAATCCATCTTAATTTTCAAAAAAGAAGGAAAGGTATTTTGGCCATTAATCTTCAACGTAACTGGATTTTGAGAAGAGAACTGATTTTTCTATATTTAATGTTTGAATTTTGTTGAGAACTTGGTTTAGGGTTTACAACATTTTCAGCTTTTGTAAATGTTTTCTAAGGGCTTGAATAACCCAAGTATCCTGTAATGGGGTGGAGGAGTTCTATCAAGCCATTAAAGTGTTATTCAAATCTTAGATATTTTATCTGCTTGATCTCTACCAATAGTCATGTCTTAAAAATCACCCACCACAATTATGGATTTGTTGATTTCTCCTTGCAGTTGTATCAGTTTTTGTTCTCTGTATTTCATATTATGTGGAACAAGTTTATGGTGGCCCTCTTTATTTCTAATAATAATTTTTGCCTTATGATGTATTTTATCTGAAATAAACCCAGTACTCATCGTTCTTCTAATAAGCATCTGCCTAGCACATTGGTGGATTTTAAAAATTTAACCTGACAATCTCCATCTTAACTCTTGAGTACATTTACATTTATTGTAATTACTGATATGTTTGACTTCTACCATGTCATTGTATGCTATTTAACTTGATTTTGGGGGGTTTGGGAGGGTTCCCACTTCCTTTCATGACTGAGTTTTCTATATTTTTCTCTCCTCCTTTACCTGATTTAGAAGTTATATAATGTTTCCATTCTTGTATTTAGTTTTATTTATTCAGATGGGACTCACTGTGCATCCTGAATTTTATGTCTTTTTTCCTCTAACTTCTATGAGACATAGGCTGGAATCTTCTAATTTTCTAGTCTATGTCTTTTAATTTCCCATGATGCATCTTTATCTTGTAACACTGTTCTCTAAATTCTTCAGATTTAACTTTCAATTTACTGATTTTCTCTTAAGAACTAAGCAGCTAACTTAGTCATTTGAGTTTTAAAATTTAAGAACTATATTATTCATTTTTAAAAATTCTAATTAGTGTATTTCCAAATTTGCCTAGGGTTTTTTTTTCCTTTGCCTTATTCTTTTTCATGTTTTCCATTCCTGTTTGTTTTTAATTCACCAGAGCAAATTTACTTTATGGTTTCTAAAATTACTCTTACCCAAAATTGTGAGGGGTCTAATTCTGGTATTTCTATCTGCTTACTCTCACTTATGGGGCTCTGTAACTTTTGATGGTGATTTTCTGTTCAGCAGGGAATGCTGTGAGGATTGGATTGAGATTCTGTCCCTCCACAGGGGTTTTACATTTGCTTCTATCAGGTGCTCCAGGGGTATTACCATCCTGGGAACACTTTTTTTTTTAACGGAATTTTTTAACATGTACAAAAATAAAACAAACAGTAAATTAACTCCCATGTATGTATTACCAAGCTTCAATAATAATAATCAACACACAGCCAATCTTGTTTCATCTAAATACCCACTCGCTATCCACCTCTCTCCACTGGGTTATTTTAAAGCAAATCCCAGATGGCATATCATTTCACTTCAATGTATACTTCTTTTAAAAAGATTCTTAAAAATAATAATACAAAACTAATAATTGCTAATATCAACAATATTCAGTCTGTGGTCAAATTACCCTGATTTTCACTTTCTCTAATCTGTTTAAAGTAAGAGAGGGAGAAATGGTTAGTTTGAAGCAAGACAGTAACAAGTCTGGACCTACTTTTTAAATTAATTTCTTAGCTTAGGGTTCCTAGATCAAGCTGTGTGGTATAAATTCATACTTGAAGCACTTGTGAGGAGAGGCCCAAGGTTCTAGATTTTTAGGAGGTTCCATCCATCCTATCCCCCCTTCCCTCAAGACCAGGACAAACAAAATTCCTTAACATTTCCTAGTGCCAAGGGGAATTTTTTTCCTCTAGACTTCATTTTTCTTGAGATGATAGCCCGTCAGGATTCCCTGGCTTTACACAGGGGTCTCAGTTCCAACTTTTTACCTTTTACAGACCTAAGACCTCCTTTCCAGCTCTTGAGTGAAAATTAAAATATAAGTCTCTAATGTTTTATATCTTGTTTTGTGTGGTGGATAGTAATCTGCATTATTTTATCATATGTAAATCACTTATCAGTTAAAAATAAAACTCAGTTATATTTACATCAAAACCAGCAAATCCTCCCTATACCTCCAGGACAGCATCAGCACCAATTCCTCTTAGTACCTGGCTTTTCAATTTCTCTTCATTTTTGCTCCTGGGATGCCCCTTACTTTCTTGCACTCACAGCTATACACACTTCAAAGGATTTTTATTATATTTTACTCAGACTCTCTCAGTATTTTGTACTGTGAAGGTTACTAAATTCTCTAGCCGAGTGGTTCTCAACCAAGGGAGATTTTGCCCCCTAGAGGACATGGGGCAACATCTGGAAATGTTTGTTTGCCTTAACTAGGGGAGTTACTGCTGGCACCTAGTCGGTAGAGGCCAGGGATGCTGCTAGATATCCTACAATGAACTGGACAGTCTCCCACAACAAAGAATTATTTGGCCCCAAATGTCAACAGTGTCAAGACTGACAAACCGTGATCTAGTTCACCTTGACTGTAGGAACATTTGGCTTTCACCTTTGCATTTCACAATGACAGAGCATAGTCTTTAGCTATCACTCATGATGAAAACATCTCGCCTAAAAATTTACTCTAGAATTCCCCAAATAAGAAATTTTCAAAGTGAAGAGTGGGAAAAAGAGGGAATCTGGGCATATACGTCTTCATCTTTTATATCCTTACAATGCTAACAGATGGAAACTGCTGTTAGATTACCATGCCAAAATTAATCACAGAACTGAAGGACTTTAGAGCTAAAATTAAGAACCTTAAAGATCATGATTTAACAATGGGAAGTTTGTACACCTAAAACATGTATTTTACAGATTATAACTTTATATTCCAATCTAATGTTCACCAGGAAGTTGTTGCCCAAGACGCCCTGGCTAAGCAATGAGAAGTCAAGCTGAATGCCCTTTGTGGTTACTGCGGTTCAAGGACACCATCCTGAGCTAAATATCCCACTAAAAGTGCTGCTTCGATTCTCTTTTACTATCTAGAACTGCTTACTATGCTTCTGCCTCAATATTAATTACAGAGTATTTATGCTTTTACTAATGTGGGTTTTTTTGGGTTTTTTTTTTTTAGCTGAGCCATCCTGCTACCTGTTAGCAGCTCAGCGGCTGCTCAGCTGGGGCTGGACTCGAACCGCTGTTGCTCAGAGCTCAAACTCTTGAGCGAGCTCTTAACCAACTGAGCCACTCGGCCGGCCCCCTAACGTGGGTTTTAAGATAGGCAAGACTTGAATTTCAAAATGTGGGAAAGTCTATTGATCTTTTTAATATCATTATTTAATATTTCAGGCATATAACAAAGTACTGAGAATAACATAATGAAAACCTATTTTCTTACCAAACAGCTTAAGAAATAAAGCATTATAGATATGATAACAGCCCCCCTGTGGAACTCTTGAATCCCATTCCCTTCTCTCCCCAGAGGTAAACTCCCGAATTAGATGTTTATCACTACACTTGTTTTCACTTTCACATTACATGTGCAATGCATAAATAATATATGTTTAAACTTATACAAAGGGTATAAAATATAGCTTCTATAACTTCTTTTCTATTAGTGATAATTTCCTGCATATAATAGCTACAGGAATAGAGTAAATGGAATTGCTAAATGTGTTCAGCTTCTCTATCTCCAAAGAGGAACTCATCTGGGATTGGATTTAATTTGTCCCCAAATGCACCTACCTACAGTGTTGTGTACCTTCTCTACTATGTGCTAATGAAACTGGTAACTGAAATTCACACCCTTATACCCAGAGACAGGGGAAGTGTTCGCCAAAACCCACAAGCCCCAAGCCCAGTTCTACCATATGAAATCCACTGAGCTACAGTTTTCCTCAGGCTTCTAGAAAGGGTGGTAATTGAATATGGGTAGTGAATTCACTGCAACTGTTTAGACACAGAGTTCACTATCTCCACCTATTGTGTTTTCCAAGGAATATTAATAGCAGTAACAGACACCAGATTTGACCAACCTATTTTCAGATATAAAACATAACAAGTCTGTTAAAGCAGACCACTGAAAACATAAAAGCCTTTATTGATTGAGTGAAAGAAAATAAAGCCTAGATATTTCTATCCCTTCCATTTCAGAAAGTAAGTAGAGGGGTGAGAGAAATAAGAGTAAAGACATTAGCTGGGTTTTAATAGTCCTTCTAAGGATTCAAAAAGGCTGGTCTAAGAATGATACATTAGAGTCAGATTTAGACCAGGATGTGCCCCCAAGGAAGACAGCTGACATGATTACTCCTCTCTTCCCAGATGCAGAGTCAAGCTGCTGACATTTTACACCAAGCAAGTTCAGCAGCTATTACTGTAGGTGACAGTTCTCTAGATATTCATGGGATGGATTCATGGAGGGGGAATAACTCAAAGTTCACTGTTGATTAGGCCTAACAAATAGCTTGTTCAGGGAAAAAGGTAAACACCCTAAAAATATCACCAAGGAGAAAAGGAGATAGGCTTGGGTAGATTTAGGACAATTTACAGATCAAGTCCAGAGAGCCTTTTACCTTTAAGAAAAAAAAAATTGTTTTGAATCCTTCCTTTGCCCCACTTCCTTGTTATCGCTGTAATAAAGACTCAGACCAATGGTTACCACACTACTTCCCACTTCTGTCCTGCAAGTAAAGTCCCTGAGTGGAGTAAGACCCAAGAAAGAAAAAAAGTGGTAGAGAAGAAGCAAGTGAAGATGCCAGGTATAGGATGTGTGTGTTTAAAAGGTTTTAAGAATGAATCAAAATAGAATTTTTTTTTTAAGCTGAGCCATCCTGCCACCTGTTGGCAGCTCAGCGGCAATTCAGCTCAGGCTGGGAATCGAACCATTGTTGCTCAGAGTTTGCACTCTTGAGCGAGCTCTTAACCAACTTAGCCTCTTGGCCAGCCCCAAAATAGAATGTTTTAATTGTTTATTACCTCATTCGTTGACAAGGTGATCACTGATCTTATATAGAATTAAAATCAAAAGGCTTTGGAATTACAAGAGGCAGAGGCTAGGGAGATTTTTAAAATTTCAAGCAAGATGCATTTATCTTGAGTGATAGCTAGACACAAAAGCGAAGGAGGCATCACAATACGGCTGCAATGGAGATTTCAGTAAGGTAGTTTGTAAGGAAGTCTAGATCAGGGATCGGCAAACTTTTGAGATTGAAGAGCCACCAGAAGTTGGCAAACTGCGGCTCGCAAGCCACATGTCTCTTTGGGTATGTACAAGTGGCTCTGAAGTAAAATTGAAAATGAAAATTAAACTATCATAGTTTCATTTATAATATTACTTTAAATCTTCCTTATTTGTAAAAATATATTTATGGCTCTGGAATAATTTTTAAATTGTTGTGAGGGACAGGGTTGGTTCTTCCGGGGTCAGCAAACTTTTGAGACGGAACGTACCCAAAGAGCCAAAGGTGGCTCACGAGCCGCAGTTTGCCAAGCCCTGGTCTAGATAATTAGAAATGGACCTAATTCAAGCACTAAGGGCCATGATGTGGTAAGACCCAAGGGAACGCATCAACTTGGAAAGAGAGAGCACACAAAGATTCAGTGGACACACTGACTAAAAATGGGCTGAAGAATCACCAAGTCAGACCCACCTTGCAAGTTCACCTAGGTCATGACCGTATGGACAATCCCATGGCTTTTCCTTACCTAAGTATATCACTGATGGTAATTTCAGGGATAAACTTTTGAAGGTACTTCACTGTTACACTGAGAAAACAGGCTTTATACATTTCATTGACTCCATAGGAGAAATTCTGGAACACCAGTTTAATCAAGCCACTGAAAACAAAGAAAATAAAATTTCTCTGAGAGAAAGAAATTCTTTATTACTATAAAACACCTTTACAACTATTAACTTGGGCTGGGGGCATCACAGAAATCCATGCAAAGTCAGAAAAACCACAAATTGAAAGAAAACCAACTTTTGGTCAATTTAAGAAGGAAATTTCATCAAAAGACTACCTTCCAAACTCCAAAGGTAAACTTCAAACTCAAATTCCCAGGGAATGCTGGTTTCAAATAGAGTTCTATAAAGCCTGCCAACACAGCAAGGCTCTCTAATATAAATGTTCCCTGCTTTCAAAACACACCTAAAAGGCATTAGCAGATCTTTAAATCTGGGCATTAAAGAAGTGAGACATTTACCCTACTTTTCTTTAGTCAACCAGAGGTAAGATCCTCTACTAGTGTTTCTTACGTGAGACTCTGATGAGTCTGTGTGTGTGTGTAATTTTTTTACAAGCACACATGCTGGGAAACCCCATCCTACACCTTCCGTTTCAGAATCTGTGGGAGGTGAAACTCAAGTACAGCTTATAAAGCTTTCTAGTAATTTTGATGTGAAACCTGCCGGAGAGAAACACTACTAAAAAGACCCCACAAAATACCTCACTGAGTTCTTACAAGAGTAAAGAATCTGCAACCCAGGTCAACATAATAGTATTGTTAGTTTTCCACAAAAGGAAAAAACTTCAGTTATCAGCAATTTCTCCAGTGGTTTTCAAAATGATGGTGACTAGCTTGAAACGATCTTATCAAAGTAAACCATCTACTGATTTCGAGAGAAATTTCTCTTTTTTTTTTTTTTTTCAAACTCAACTGTAAGGTTAGCAAAACAAGATGTGGATTGTCAGTGTATGACGGGTTCTTGGTCTTGTTCTTTTTAACCAAGACAATACCCTGAATCATCAGTATTTTCTTGAAGTAGTTAAAACATTATGCTTATTCCCCAAAATTCTTAATTTGGATTAATAAAAAAATCAATACACCAATCACAAATATGAGGATTTATCCAACAAACAATATCAAGAAAGACAAAATGTCTCACATTACAAATATAAGCATATAAAATCATTTTTTAAGTTATTAAATTACCTCTTGGTAATTACATCCATACTGTCTCTGGCACTGAAGTCAAAGGGTTTGTAACCCTCTCGTTTAAAGGCAAGAACTGCATTAGGCCCTAGCCAAATACTGCCATCCATCCTTGGTGTGAAGTGAACTCCTAGGAAAGGAAACCGGCTATCTGGGACCTACCGATTTAACACAGCAAAGATACTGTTAGGCCCACTTTACCCTGCATTTTAGCATGCATGCAAACATTCAACTGGTAATAAAAATCACTTTCTCCCTGTGCTTTTAATTTGTATTATTTTCATCTTTACTCAGATACATTTTTCTACTTACATGCTTCTGCCTAGAAATGCCACACAGGAAACACTGATGCTATGGACACTAATACACACTGTCTATCTATTCCTCTTTCCGGGTAAAGAAAAAAGAACTGTCCTATTTCATGTTATTCCCTGCCCTGTCCTCCCCCTTCCCCTGCCTCCTCCACCTCCCAACTAGGGATTTTTGTGGCTGGCAAGTAAAATCAGAGCTGTCAGAAAAACACATGTTCATAGCACAGGTTTTTGTAAAGTTGGAATGTATTAGGTTGGAGCAGGCGAAATGGATGTTTTGGCAAGGTCAAAAACATTAAGTAGCTGAATATTGGTCATTTCATCTGGTTCAACCTAGTAGTTCCAGATGGAAGAATGAACTCTTTATTTAAAGGGCTCTGTCTTCTACACCATGAAATTACAGAGGCCATATCCCCTTTTCTTCACCTATAGGTGGTGAACTGAGAAAGAGGGTTGGGTATCTGGGCATAAAAAAAGGGAACATTCTCTTATGAGTGCTCCTTCCACCAGAGAGGAAGGAGAATCAGTTCTTTCTTGCTAGCCCTTCTCATGGTGCACTCATGCTTTCTGGAGACATGTACTTGTGGGCAATTAAGTACAGTTTAATGACTATGATATCAGAATAAAGATGTAGGGATTTAACATGCTTGCACAAAAAGTCCTTCAAAATATCTCTTACTTCTGCCCCAGGTAAAAGTTTTTGTTTCATTCCCTTTTTGCCCACAGTCATCTTGAAAAGGGTGAGAAGCAGAGCAGAAGCATCATTACCTACCGGATAAATATTTCCTTTTACAAGATAGCATTTTTCTGGCTTCAAGAGCAGGTAATCTCCCCGGAATGGTACAATTCGAGGATCGGGACTGCAGCCACTCAACTCGGAAATACGGTCTGAGTAAAGTCCTGCACAGGTCACAACATACTGACACTGAACTTCCTCTCCCTAATGCAAAAGAAAAGAACAGTGATTTGTAGGAAGCAGGGAGGACCAGAATATGTCAAGGGCAGAAAAACAGATTATAGAAAAGATACTAAAGGTACAGAAATGGACTTTTTTTCTTTTTATTTCTTTTAAAACAGGAAATACAAGTATCAGCAAAATAAATTCTTCAGCATTTAGGTGGCAGCTAGAAACTTAGTGTAATGGCATACAAGAGGATGTCACCTTAAATTTTATACTTTTAAATTAAATTAGGGATACAATGGTTGACCTAGTGAAGACACTTAACACACACACACACACACACACACACACACACTTATTTTACTAAGATCTAGCATGGAACTTCTGAACTATTTGTTACATGAAGAAGCAAACTTCATTTAGATGGCCCCACAAATTTGGCTTCTTCTGTATTTCAGACAGCTTCTCCTGTCTTATCTAGCAGTAATTATCCTGTTTCTCTCAGGTTGCTTCACACTCCAACTGTAACCCAGTACCAACCAATTTCTCCTTCCTGATCGATATCTACTTTGCAAACTGAAGCTACTTTCAAAACCTCATTCATTCAATCTACTAAGAACACAATACAGTCAAGGTTTGCTTTAACAAGTAGGAGACTGTTAATGTTAGGCTGTTGCATTTTCCCATAAATTTTATTTTGTAATTATCATCTGCCTATTTTCAGATTTACCCTGCTAGGGTTAGTCAATTTGCTACCCTATTTCCTAAATGATTTCATAATACCACGATTCATCACCACACTCTAATACCCATGTCTTCTTAGAGTAAGCACCTAGCACCCTCTTGCTCCAGGTAGTTTCTTATTCTTAGATTTCCTCCCCAAATGACCTGTTTCTGAAGCCTCAGCGTTCTTACCTATCTCAACATTTTCTTTCTTTCCAGCCTTCACTGATTCAGCCTTATTTTATCTCCGCACGTATTCTATTTTTGCCTACCTACAAAGATAAGCCTCTTTTCAAGAGTTATATAAGTTACACTTCTGAAAAAATTAGATGAAACTTCTTCGTAGTGAGTTCAAACTAGCTAGATTAAACCATGATAGTTTTAAGACCCTTGAAATTAAAGGGCTATGGAAACAAAAGCAAAAATGTCTTCTTCTAAATAGGCTAATATCTTTCCTGTTCATCTGTAGTAATATACCAGAAGCACAAGAAATATTTTCATGTGGTATATAAATCTACTAGTTCCTACTTTGAAAAGTCAGCAGTTCTTTTGTTCTTAGAACACAAAATGTAGATAAGCCATATGATAAACATAAAGATAAGAGAATTTGTAGAATGGTATCAGCATGCAAACAACCTAGAAGTTCTCTTTTAAAAACTCATGGAACAGGTCCAAAGAAAGAAATGATTAACAAGGTCTCTGAAATCATTTTATGCTATATATGAAACAATAACTAAATTCAGTAACACACTAATTTCACATCCAAAATGGATATTTAGGTAATCATTAAATGATACGTTTGTTAAAACATACATTTCTTTAAAAAATTAAACTATGCATCTCTATTTCTATTTCATAAGTGAGTCGTTTTCCCTATATGCAGTCTATAAATCTTTAGTTTGCAAATCCTCTCCCAAGAAGTTTCTTTTTAAAATCCTTCTTCTTATAACCTCATAAAAGCATACATGTTCAACTTGATAAGTTGACTTGAAATTTTTAATTATATTACTTAACTATATTAAAGAAAAATGCCAAAATAAAAGGCAACTGCTATAGTAACTGGGTGAAATACATATCCACTGGTATCCCACAGGCCCCTACATATCTTCCATCACATGATGCCATACTGTTGAAAAATGTCCCTTAGGTGAGAGCAGGGGTAAAAACAGACTTTTAATCTTCTTTGAATGGAGATCCTGGTTGCTTTGCCACTTGGGCCACATGACGCAGCAAACGGTATTCAAAGTGTCTGTGGCAGAGTGTGATGGTTTATTGAGACTGTAGGCTCCCATAGATGACTCAGAGCACAGAACTTTAGGATTTGGGAGGAAAGTTATACCATCCTCTGCAAATAACTATCCTCCTTTTGGGAAAATGCTTTTGGCTTTGACTCAACACTTGACCACTGGTCACCAAAGTTACCATGTGAACTACCCATTATTAACAGGGTATTGTCTGACTCACTGAGCCACAAAATTGGGTGTGTATAGCAGCACTCTGTCATCAAGAGGAAGTAGAATATATAAGATCATATACTAGGTCCTGCAGGCACAAATAAGTTGCAGAGGCAAGGGGCTCAAATTTCCACGACCCCTATTCTTGCTAAATGACCTCCTCCTTCTCAACTTGCCCCTGGGGCCCCTTAGAAAGTTCTCTATGATCAGTTGACCAAGGAAGAAAAAATAGAGGCCTGATTTACAAATCGTTCTACACAACATCCTGGCACCACTTGAAAGTGAACAGCAATAGCACCTGAGCCCCACTTGGGAGTGGCCCTGAAGGACTGTGGTAAAGGGAAATCCTCCCAGTGGGCAGAACTTTGAACGCCACACCTGGATGTTTACCATACCTAGAAGGAGAGATGGCTTGAAGGATGGATCTACATTGCTTCATGTGCAATAACTAATGGTTTGGCCAGATGGTCAGGAAAAGGAGCTCTGGAAAAAAGGTATGTGAATGGACCTCTCCAAACAGGTTCAGAAGGTAAAGATAGTTAAGTTCCACATCAAAGCTCACTGAAGAGGAACCGTGACAGAGGAAGATTTAATCATCAGGAGACAAGACGACCTGCTCTGTGGATGTTAGTTAGCCCTTTTCCCCAGTCACCCCTGTCCTTACCCAATGGCTTCAGAAACTAAATGGTTATGGCAGCAAGGATGGAGGTGATGCATGGGCTCAGCAACATGGACTTACTCACCAAAGCTGATGTGTCTACAGCCACTGCTGAATGCTCAATCTGCCAACAGCAGAGAGCAACAGAGCCACTGATGTGGTCCCTGGGTCACTTCAATCAAAACAAAACAAAATAAAACAAAACAAAAAGGCAGCACTTAGTCCTCACTGGAATAGGCACTTGCTCTGGATATACATGTCTTCCCTGCCCATGATGCTTCTGCAGAAACCACCATCTGTGAACTTACAGGATGCCTTATTCAACATGATGGTATTTTACCCACAAGCATTACTTCTGATCAGTGAGCTTATTTTACATAAGTGAAGTATAATGATAGGCTCATGCTTGTGGAATTTACTGATTTTATCATTTTCCCCATCATCCTGAAGCTGCTGGGTGACAAAATGGAATGGCCTTTGTAGATTCAGTAACAGCACTAGCTGGCTGGCAACACCTTGCAGGGCTGGGGCAGTGTCTTCCAGGACGCGCTGTATGCTCTAAATCAGCGACTAACATATGGTATTGTCTCTCCCATTGCCAGGATTCACAGGTCTGGAAATCAAGAGGTAAAAATGGGAGCATAGTAGCTCCTTAACAATAATCCACTAGTTTCTGCTCCTAATATAAATTTCTGCTTCCTATCTCCACAACTTTGGGCTCCAATAGCTTAGAAGTCTTAGTTCCCAAGGGATAAATGATTCCATTGAAGAATAAGCAATGATTCCATTATGCTAGATAATACTGCCATACCTGGCCACTCTGGGATCCTAGCACCAGTGAATCAGCAGGCAGAGAGGATTACTGCACTGAATGGGGTAACTGATCTGGACTCTCAAGGAGAAATAGAATTGCTACCACACAGGCGACTTGGGGATGATAAAGAGGAGTATGTCTGGGACATAGATCTCCTGGGGAATCTCTTTAGTATCCCCATGTTTTGTTATAAAAGTTAATGGAAACCACTACTATCCAAAACAGGCAGGGCCGTTAATGGCAGGGGCACTTCGGGACTGAAAGTTTGAGTTACTCCCTAACTAGAAACCATAATCAGCTGAGAAGCTTGCCAAGGTCAAGGGGACTATGGAATGGATAGTGGGAGAAGGAAATTATAAATATCAGCTATGACCACATGATTGGTGACACAAATGAAGAATGTAGTAGTTATGAATATTTCTTCCTTACTTTGAAATACATATATGTCTATAAGCATCCAATTCTTTCCTTTCCCTCATTATTATAAATTGTGTCCCCCCTCAAAAAAAAATTCCGTATTTTAAAGCCTTAACTCCCAATGTGACTGAATTTGGAGACAGAGCCTTTAGGAAGGTAATTAAGGTTAAATGAGGTCACGAAAGTGAAGGCCTACTCTGATAGGACTGGTGTTCTTGTAAGAGAATGAGACACCAAAGATTGCTCTCTCTCGTGTGCTCTCTCTTTGCACATGCGCATGCAAAGAGAAGAGACCATGTGAGGACACAGTGAGAGGGCTGCCAGCTACAAGCCAATAGAGCTCTCACCAGAAACCAACTCTGATGACACCTTGATCTTAGACTTCAAGCCTCCAGAAAACTGTGAAAAAATAAATTTCTGTTGATCAAACCACCCAATCTCTAGTATTCTGTTAAGTAGCCCGAGAAGATTAATACACCCATCTCTGCCATTTCCCCATTATCTAACACAGAGTTTCTCATCTTCAGTACTATTGACATTTGAGGCCAGATACCTCTTCGTAGTGGGGACCTGTCCCTCATGTTGTAGGATGTTCAGCAGCAACTTTGGCCTCTACCCACTAAATGCCAGTAGCACTGCCCCACTCCACCACTAGCTGTGACAATCCAAAATATCCCCAGACACAGTCAAATGTCTTCTGGAGGGGCAAAGTCATCTCCAGTTGAGAACTACTGATCTATTTATCATAAGGTGCTTACATAGTGGTGAACCTTTTATTTCAGTATTTAAGTTATAGGATCTCAAAGGGGGAGTGTGACTCAGCTAGAAAAGAAATGAATATCACCCAAGATGGATAATGTAGACTTTGTGTCTTTTTTTGGAGGCTAAGCATGCCTTCAGCTGTATAAAAAATAGTTGCACCTTGTAGGTGGAAGCATGACTTTACTAATATTTTTATTTGGTAGTTAAATGTGGATATAACGGGGTATGAATGGATGCCAAATTGAAAAGAGATGGACTGCCGGGGTTTATACTGTGTCAATTTGGTTAAGCTGGGAACTATGCTCAACAGAATTCCCTTCCCTGTATGATTCCAACTTCATGTTGACCAAAACAGGAATTGCATATGATTTGGTAGGCAGAAAGTAAGGCAGCAGCCATTATTCTTTGAAGGTCATTCTAGTCCAAGGTGGTGACAAACACCCACTGACAAGTGAATTACATCTCCATATGCAGCTCTGCTTCTAAACTACTGATCCTACTGACTAAGCGCTGCCCTAGACCACTACTTGGGTGTAGATGCAGAGACAAGAGTTCCCCACATTCCCTCATGAGCTTCTCATTTGCAGCTCCACTTCAGCAGCTGGACACACTTGGCTTCTCAGACTGGTTAGATATGCCTCGATCTACCAGCTCCCCTTCTAACCTTTGCTTCTCTAGATCCTTTCATAATTGTGTGAGACCTAATTGCTATAATAACTCTTACTACACTCATTAATGATTCTGCTTTCCTGACTGAACTGAACTCTGATCATTCAGTGAACACACAGCGAACACAATACTGCTATAGTTCTTGCTTTAAACGATATGAAGATGAAGGAAAGCAGTCTCCCTCCTGCTGTACAACCTGTCCCCTCCCCAAAATCTTCTCAATAGCAGAGAGTTAATAAGTGAAAGTAGATAAGTCAGTAAAACAATAAAATATCTATCATTTTTGCCTTAAAATTAAACACTCCAAGTGCTTATAATCATATTCCTTGCTGGCACAATCACTATATGAATAAATTTCCAAGCTGAAACCCTTTTTAGAATGAAAGCTGTTACACTGCTGTCAAAGAATTTCTCTCAGAATAACTTTACCTTAGACAAATTTCATTCAATGACATAAAATACAGCACGGTGATTAATTCAACTTTTTAAGAAAGGAAGGGAATAAAAGTAGATAAAATAGATGGAAGTAGTTTTGCTTAAGAATCTTTACCTTTGTATTCCTTATAACAACTGGATATTTCATCCCTGAAAAAAAAAGAATTAATGAAACATTTTTAGTAAAAGAAGGCCTACATTATTTAAACAATTTTCTTCTGTCACAACCATGATTGCTCCCCACATTTCTTTTTTTTTTAATTAAAGTTTATTGGGGTGACAATGGTTAGTGAAGTTACATAGGTTTCAGGTGTACAATTCTATAATACATTATCTATATAACACATTGTGTATTCACCACCCAGAGTCAGTTCTCCTTCTATCACCATATATTTGATCCTGTTTACCCTCATCTACCACCCCCCTCCCCCCTTACCCTCTGGTAACAACTAAACTATTGTCTGTGTCTATGAGTTTTTGTTTTTTTGTCTTGTTCCTTTGTTGTTTTCAGTTTTATATTCCACATATCAGTGAAATCATATGATTCTTGACTTTTTCTGTCTGACTTATTTAGCTTGGCATAATAATCTCAAGATCCATCCATGTTGTCACAAATGGCACTATTTCATCTTTTCTTATGGCAGAATAGTATTCCATTGTGTATATATACCACATCTTCTTGATCCAACCATCTATCAAAGGACACTTTGGTTGTTTCCACGTCTTGGCTACTTTAAATAAAGCTGCAATGAATATTGGAGCACATACTCGTATATCTTTATAAATAAATGTTTTCAAATTTTTTGAGTAGATACCCAGGATTGCTGGGTCATATGGTAATTCTATTCTTAATTTTTGAGGAACCTCCACACTGCCTTTTGTAGTGGCTGCACCAATCTGCATTCCCACCAGCAGTGTATGAGAGTTCCTTTTCCTCCACAGCCTCTCCAACACTTGTTACTATTTGTCTTGTTGATGAGAGCCATTCTAACTGGTGTTCCCCACATTTAATTCTGAAGCTTTTTACCAAGTAACAAGATTAAACTAGCTCATATTTGACAATATATATAACTCTGGCATGTTTTTGAGATTATTTTATATGAATTCATTTAATCTATGCTTATAAACCTTTCCCTACCTTAGCTTCACATTGGCAGTCCCAGCTTTTCTTGAACTACAAACCTAGAAACCATGCTATAAAATAGATCATTATAAATCAGTATATATTTTCCCACAGGACTAGTGCTATGACACTTGTTGTCCAAGTGTTGATTACCTGAGTCCTTGCAGATTCTAGGCTGTGGAGAGAAGCAAGGGTTATTACAACACAAAAATTTCCAATAATAAACTATGTATAAAATTAGTTTCCAATTAGATACATGGGATCTCAAAGTCTTATAAAGCATACGTACAGTAGGAAAAGAATACAATCTACTTGTATCATAAATTTGATTGATTATTCTACCTAGCTATAATAATCTTATTTAACAATTTTTTTCATCATCTTAGAATTTAGAAGGACACTGTGAGAATGATTCAGATGACCCAGATCTCCTCAAAAACCTGTCAAAGTAAGAATAAATCCAGCACTACTTTTTTTCTCCTTCAAATTTCCCAACAGCAAATTCAAAACTTACAAACCAATTCATTTTATTTTTTTAATTGTTCCCAAAGCAAAACAAAAACTAAGCACAGTCTACAGTGGCAGGGGTAGGTGAGGGTGGGTGACAGGTATGGGGGTAGCTCAGAATGGCTGAGTCATACCCTATCCCCAGACAGTATGACTGATTAAGACTGGGTGATGCTACAGTTTGCATTTTTTTTAAAAAGATTTTTATTGGGGAACTGGAGAGGGGAACAGTGTTGGGGAATTGGAGAAGGGGAACATTGTGTTTTTCCAGGACCCATCAGCTCCAAGTCAAGTTGTTGTCCTTCAGTCTTAGTTGTGGAGGGCGCAAGCTCAGGTCTAAGTTTAGTTGCCACTTTCAATCTATAGTTGCAGGGGTGCATAGTCCACCATCCCATGAGGGAGTTGAACCGGCAACCTTGTTGTACACTGAGCCATCCAGCTGCCCGTCGGCAGCTCGTGGCTGCTCAGTTCAAGGTGCTGTGTTCAATCTTAGTTGTGGGGGGGCGGGGTGGGCGGGGTGCAGCCCACCATTCCATACAGGTGTAGAACCAGCAACCTTGCTGCTAAGAGCACACGTCCTCACCAGGTCAGTGGCAGCTCAGCTCGGGCGCAGCTCACTGGCCCGTCTGGGAATCAAACCGGCGACTCAGTTGCTCAGAGCTCACGCTCTTAACCAACTGAGCCACTCAGCCGGTCCCTAAAGTTTGATTTTTAACAAGCATTCCCAAGGGATTCTGACTCTAACCTACAGGATAAGGAAGTGTTTGAGGGCTAATTTTATACAAACAGTCATGGCAGTTCAGGTTTTACCACAAGTCCGATCAGTCTCCAATCAGTGCCTAGTTCTATTAGCACAAGACTCACTGGAAGTCCCAGTTCTCCCACGTCCAATCTCACCCTTGTCCCTTCTGTACCTGCCTCCAGCTCTGGGCCCTGCTGTAGCCTAGCTTCTGGTAGACCTCCCACCAGCACTACCCCAGGCAGAAACAATGCAAGTATTCAAAAGAAAAGACAAGGATGGCTTACCATCTTGATTTCTTGAAGGACTTTCTCTAGCCATTTCAATATCTTTTACTTCAAAATTGGTCAAGACAGAGCCACCTGCTTCTTGGAAATCCTGAGCAAATGACAAAGCCACCTGACGATAGTCCACAATGCCAGTATATGGGCAATCAATAGCCATTAGACCCTGCAACAGGATTATGAAAAAGTCAAGACAATACAATTAAAAATCACAGAGGACAGGTTGATCAATAAATTTTATTTTGTGCTGAATTTTATTACTGTCTGTTTTGATGGATTAATACACATTATCCTTTCTTGGCAAAACCTAATAGTATTAAAGAAAAATAAAAGCTTGCTCCATTCAGTGCCTAAGTTTTATCTTGAGGACATATATATATAACAGATATAAGAAATACTATCTAAGTAAAAAATTTCTATAATTAGGAATTACTTCTCTTTCTTAAAGGAATTAATTTTTGCCAGACTCTTCCAGCTGCTAAAATGAGTTTTTCAGTTTTATTCATCCTTCATCATATCTGATTCTGCGTCAAATTCTGTGTCACCAAACCATTATGTTTTAAACAAACTCCACTGAGATCTTCCCAGTAGTGAGTCATGTCATACACACTCAGTGAGAACACAGAATTGTTCATATGTTTGCAGAGCATTGACTTGATTGGCTACAGACTCTATTTTCAAGACTGCAACATTGAATGGAGGTTGTATGTGGTTCATTCAAACACTCTCTTCAGATAATATGAGAAATTAATAGCCTGGATTGTTTTTTGGTAGTTAGTTTGTTTTTGCCAAGACATGTTTAAACTCTATAGACGAATGATCTATAACCATACTTAATTTTTGGAAATAAATGTTGACTGCACATTGACCTTTTCTAATTCTGAAGAAAAGTATAAGAGTAGAATTTCATATACTAAGTATTGACTACATTTTGGGGAATTTTTGATAATAACACCATTTTCTACTGCCTTATTGTGTATATGAGTATATCAGTTTTCCCAATCAATTTCCCCTAACAGGGTAGCCTGGTTCTCAGGGTAACTAAGGCCCAGAAACTGAGTGAGACTTGTAAATGTTCTTGTTTGGCCAGCACAGCACTGTCACTGTTGCAGTTTTAAAATAATATATTGTCAAATAATATTTTAAAACACCTCATTCTTGTGTTCAGTGCCCCACACCTACCCCCAATACATTTACCTGCTTATCCTTTAAAAGCTTTTGACTTTACCACCCATCTTTGACTAGTGTTGCCTAAGGGTAAAGGCTCACAGAACACCCAACAGCCTCTTTTCACAAACTGAAAGCAACATTTGGAAAACTATTTTCCTGACAGTCTTGCTTCCATAGTATGAGCGAATTTGCCCAAGTATAGGAAATCATTCCTTCTGTTTCGATATAGTAGATAACCATAAGATTTTATACAGACCTTATATTGCCTAACAATCCCTAAATTCACAGGTCAAGAGTTATAATTCAACTTCAACCTATAAATAGTATTTTGGGTATATTAACCTTGGAATCTAAGATAATCCCGAGAGTTTTGTCACAAAAACTTCTTTACCTAGCATAGAACTATGTGACAAGTATGATAGCACAGGGATAAAAATGTGGTGAAAAAGTGCTTCATATTAATAGTTTTTTGGAATCCCAAATATCCTTATTCATCTTATACTTCTTTTACCCATCACAACGCCTGACACATAGAAGGCACTCATATACTGAATGAATGAACTTTTGAGGGCTGTCTTTAAACATACTAGACTTTTTTCCCCCTCTAGACCTTCCCTAAAAGGTCTCCCTTCTTTGCTTTCCCTTTCTAGTCTTGGCTTTGCCCCTCCTCATGAGATGTTGGTGTGTCCCACCTACACGTGTGTGTTAGGGGAAGGCAGGGCGAGTCACTGCTGCCAAGCAATCGAATGCCCTGGCCCAGGATGGGGCTGGTGGACAGGCTGGCCATCAGCCAGGAGCTGGTCATACATACACTGTCCAGATTAGCAGGTCAGAGCTTGAAATCTGAGGCCACAGCAAGGCTGAGGCCAGAGCAAGGCTGGAAAAGAGCCAGGCAAGCAGGACAGGTAAAGCTGGGAGTCAGAAGTCAGTCAGGACAGAAGAACAGATGAATGTGTGGTTGAACGATTATAGAAAAGGCAGACAGGTCAGCACAGCTAAGGTCAGAAGCAGCAGTCAGGATTTACCCAGAAAGGCAGCTGTCAAGAGCTATCCTCCAAAGTCAAAAGTTATAGAGGCAGTTTAAAAATTTCCAAGATGCTCCCCCCGGAGTATTTAATCTTCCTCTTCTTCTTCTTAAGGGATCTGGTCCAAGAAGCCCTTTAGAGCTGCCCTAATAAACTTTTTTCTTTTTGGCGAGCCTGAAAGACACAGAAGTAACCCTGTACTATGGAAATTTTGCCCACCATTCTTGGTCATGGTGGTGAGGTTGGGGGAGAAGCAGGAATGTACTCACGACACCTTTATGAAATAACCAGACTACAATTTTCCACTACATAATGACACCCTTAAATAGGCATTGATAATGAAAATGTGGCATTATGTAATGTAGATCACTTCTGTAGCAGCTCAGGCCTCAGAGGAAAGCAGGATATACCTCTTTTATAAGTTACACTACTTATTCATCTTTCAAGTGGGGGCTCACCTCCGAGAAGGCGTTTCTAAACTCTCAGACTAAGCTAAAAGCTCTCCCTTACAGCGGTACAAGACAGACTATCACTTCTATCTGCATGCTTATCATTGTATTATAATAAAATTATATCTTCTGCTACACTATAACTTCCTTCAAGTGACTATCATTTCTTACTCATCTTATCTGCAGTGTCTAACAGTGTTTGGCACATAGTAAAGAAAAAAATATTGCTCAAGTTGAACAGAAAAAATACCAGCTCTGAGTCAGATCTTGGGGTAGAGGACTCCTTAGGAGCTGTGTAGTCTTGGAAAAGTAACTTCACCAGTTTTTTCATTTATAAGACACAAAAATATGTTTAAATATGTAATTCAATTATCTATGCACACATACCTCTTCTACCTCATTCCAAGACCTGCGAGGGTCATGGTCAGGGTCACAGAACAATATCCAGACTCATACTTTATGATGTGTGGAGAGTTATTGTTGGTTTTGTTTTTTAACAGGAAAGCATGATATAATTAATCATGGGTTGCTGCTCCTATTTTTTCTCTCTTTAAAGCCCCTCACAAAGATACATGATAGACAATGATCTGTTCCAGCTGATTAGCTGAAATCTTCAAAAATCCCCCAAATTTCAGTATTACAACAAAACCAGTAATCTTGTTTTTTCAAACTCTACAATCAATATTGTTTTTACATCACTGACCAAGTCTACAGTGGGTCAGGAACTCAGATGTCCTGTTTTGGGGGGTACCAATTTTAAAGTTTGAAAAAGCATTTTCATTAGCAAATAAAAATAGAAACATGTTAAAAAGTAGCATGCTTTTATGAAGGTTATAAATTGTTTTATTTTCAAAGGCAAGGTAGTACTTGATAGGAATAGATCAGTGAGATTCTAATATCTTAGTTTCACAACCAAATTCCAACAAAATCACATAAAATTACCTATAAAGTAGCAGCAGGTATAGCACACTTTTAGAAAGCACTCAATAGTTTTTGTAAAGCACTGTATAGATAAGGGACAGAAAGTGAATTTAATCTCTTAAATTTTTTTAGTAGACTTTATTTTTAGAGCAGTTTTAGGTTCACAGCAAAACTGAGAAGAAGGTTCAGAGATTTCCCATATAATTTCTGCCCCTACATATGTACCTTCTAATCTCTTAATTTTAACATTAGTATTTTTTTCCTTCAAGTATGACCTCAGTCTAAACAACCAGCTCTGCTGTAGAACAAATGGCTATGTGCCCCCCAAAATTCATTATGTTGAAACTAATCCCAATGGGATGGTAATTGGAGGTGGTGCCTTTGGGAGGTGACTAGATCATGAGGCTGAGCTCTTGTAAATTGGATTAATGCCTTTATAAAAGAGGCCCCAGAGAACTCCCTCACCTCTTCTGCCATGTGAGAACACAGCTAGACGATGGCTGCCTATGAACTAGAAAGTGGGTTCTCACCAGACACCAAATCTGCCAGAGCCTTGATCTCAGACTTCCAGCTTCCAGAACTGTGAGAAATACATTTATGTCATTTATAAACTACCTAGTCTATAGTACTTAGTTATAGCAGCCTGAACTAAGACAAGCTCTTATTTGGCTTATGATTTCTGTTGCAACTATTCAACTAGTTTTACGATATTCTAAGATTTCTCCACAATGTTTTAAAATAGCCTATATTACTTTCCAAAATTATTGATATGGCTTAAAGGAAATAAACAATAAAATAATGAGTTACATGTAGAGCATCAAGAAAGAGGCAAATATAATCCAAGGAGAAACGAACATATCTAAGTATCCCTACTTATCTTAACAGAGATCCCGAAAAATCCCCAAATCTTCAAGTAAAACCAATGTGAATTCACTAGAATTGCTTAAATAAGCATATAATAGTATCTACTACCTCTTAAGGATTCACATATACTGGATGCCTTACGCATATTATTTCATTCAATTCTCAGAACTTATATATCTGACTTGTCAACCACCGCATTATGCTGCTCGCCTTACATTAGATTCCAGTTTACGGGACAAAAAAAGAGTGTAAAGTGAGATAAAATAGAGCACGATATGTCAAAATTTCCTGAAGTCTGGGAATTACTAACCTACGACGTACAAGAGATACCAGGTATGCGTCAGATATTCCAAAAATAACTGTAAGTAAGTAGCATTGGTAATACAGTGGTGAACATAGCTACCTTTCAGAAATAACAACAGAAGACTTTGGCTTCCCACTTCAAGGCTCCCCTCTCTCCCATGCCCAGTCCAATTGTATCCTACGTACCAGGAACTGATTACTTTTCCTAAATTAGCACATTTTACATTATCGTTCTCCTGTCCAAATTCTTTAGTGGTTCCCTACTGTTTAGATCAGGGGTTGGCAAATTTTTCTATAAAGGGCCAGATATTATATTTTTGTCTATGTGGGGCTTATGAGCCCTATTACAACTACTCAACTTGGCTGTTTGGCACAAAAGCACTCATAGACAATACATAAATGAAAAAGTGTGGTTGTAGTCCAATAAAACTTTATTTATGGACACTGAAACTTAAAATTCATATAATTTTCACGTGTCACAAAATATTCTTCTCCTTTTAATTTTTTTCAACCATTTAAAAATGTAAAAACTATTCTTAGCTCATAGGCCATAAAAACAGGTGGCAGGCTGGATTTGGCCTACAGGTTGTAGTTTGCTGACCATGTAGCAGCATTTGCCCAAAGCCAGAAAGAATTTATTTATTAAATTAATAAGTCATGGGAATGTAATGTCCAGCATGTGACTATAATTAATAATACTGTATTGCATATTTGAAAGTTGTTAAGAGAGTAGATATTAAAAGTTCTCAGGGCTGGCGGAGTGGCTCAGTCTGTTAAGAGCTTGCTCAAGAGTTTGAGCTCTGAGCAACAGCGGTTCGATGCCCCGCCCGAGCAGAGCTGCTGCTGAGCTGCCAACAGGTGGCAGGATGGCTCAGCTAAAAAAAAAAATTTAAATAAGTAAATAAATACATAAAAGTTCTCATCACAAGAAAAAAATTTGTAACTGTGTGATGACGGAGGCTAACTAGACTTATTGTGGTGATCATTTTGCAATATTTACAAATATCATATCATTATATAGTACATCTGAAGCTAATATAATGCTACAGATCAATTATATGTAAATTAAAAAACCACATTGTCTAAAAATTAAAAAGAATTAATAATTGATAAGAAAGACTCCAACATAAAAAAGGCAAAGGAAGGGCCGGCCGAGTGGCTCAGTTGGTTAAGAGCTCGCTCAAGAGTTTGAGCTCTGAGCAACAGCAGTTCAAGTCCCTGCCCGAGCTGAGCTGCCGCTAAGCTGCCAATAGGTGGCAGGATGGCTCAGCTAAAAAAAAAAAAAAAAGGCAAAGGACTTCAACAGGTACTTCATACACATACGTATTAGCCCAAATGGCCAGTAAACATATGAAAAGGTGTACAATTTTATGAATCATCAGGGAAATGTAAATTAAAACTGTAATATTATACTACTCCATACTCACCAGAGTGGCTAAAATGAAAACAAACAATACCATGTGTTTATGAGGATACAGAGAAACTGGAACTCTCATACACTGTTGATGAGAGTATAAGGTGGGACAAAAAGTTTGGAAAACTCTCTGGCAATACCTGCCAAAGCTAATTAATTAATTAGCTTTGTAATTAAACATGTATAAATTACGACCTAGCAACTTCTCTCCTAGATATATACCCAACAGAAATGTGTACACCAAAATATATGTGCTAGAATGTTCACAGTAGCACTATTTGGAATAGCTCAAATGTCCATCAACAGTAGAAAGAATCATGTTATACCCATATATGAGGTCGGACAATTAAGTTCGTGAACTCATCCTAGAAAAAGTGCTACATACCTCATTACTGAGTATCACTACAGTCACCTTCTAAGTACTCCCCTTTGGAGGCTATGCACCAATGCCAGCGCCTAGTCCACCATTCAAAGCAATTTTGGAACTCTTTTTCTGAAATGGCCATCAGAACTCGCATCGTATTACCCTTGATGTCCTGAATGTCATCAAAATGTCTTCCTTTCAATATTTCCTTTATCCTCAGGTAAAGAAAGTAGTTATTGGGGGCCAGATGAGGTGCGTAGGGAGGGTGTTCAATAGTTATTTGTTTACTGACTAAAAACTCCCTCACAGACAGTGTCGTGTGAGCTGGTGCATTGTCATGATGCAAGAGCCATGAATTGTTGGTGAAAAGTTCAGGTCGTCTAACTTTCTCACACAGCCTTTTCAGCACTTTCAAATAGTAAACTTGTCTAACTGTTTGTCCAGTTGGTACAAATTCATAATGAATAATCCCTCTGATATCCAAAAAGATTAGCAACATCATTGCAACAAGTTCGCGAACCTAATTGTTAGACCTCCTACAGTCACCTGATATCACAAAGGTAACACTACAATGCAGTGGGAAATAATGGTCTTTTTAAACAAAAACTCATAGACACAGACAACAGTTTAGTAGTTACCAGAGGGTAAGAGGGAGGAGGAATGGTAGAAGAGGGTAAAGGGGGTCAAATACATGGAGATGGAAGGAGAACTGATGGAAGGAGAACTGGGTGGTGAGCACCAATGTAATGTATAGATGATGTACAGAAATGCACACTTGATATAGTGTGGGCGTAGAGTCAATGGAATTGTAATAGATATGTATGATATCGGGGGGCGGGAGTGGGGTGGTGGATTGGGGGAGGGGGTTGTCACTTTGAGGGGTAAAAAGCATAACTATTGCACTGTGTTGTACACCTGAAACTAATTTTAAAAAGAAAAAGAAAAAAAATGCACACTTGAAACTTATGTAATTTTACTAGCCATTGTCACCCCAATAAACTTAATTTTTGAAAAAGAAATAATGGTCGTTTTGATAAACAGCTCTGAGTCAATTGGATATCCAAATGGAAAAAAAAAATGTACCTTGACCCCTACCTTTATACAATGGACTATTATACAGCAATGACAACAAACTACAACTATATACAATAATGTGGATGAATTTCATAAACAATACTGAATAAGTCCAGACACAAGTGAGCACATACTGTATGATTCTACTTACATAAAATTCAAAAGCCTACGCTGTAAGAAGTCAGAACTGTGGTTACCCTGAAGGGATGGGTAGTGACTGGCAGGGGTGATGAGGGGACTCCTGGGAGGCTGGTAATGCTCTGTTTGCTGATCTGGGTGTTAGTCATACTTTATGAAAATTCATCAAGCTGTATAGTTCTGATTTCTGTTGTATGTGATGATTCAATAAAAAGTTCCAAAATATAGGGGTACAGCATATAGAAAATGAGGGTGGAAAGATAAGATGAAATGAAGAGGGAAGTTAATACATAAAAATAAAAATGTATCCTTAAGGCCCTAGATATCTGGCAAAAGTAGGACACAAATGTGTCTCTAAGCTTCCTTGTAGCCAGAGCAAACAGGACAATAACCGTTAAATGATTTACAGTGTCCATAAGATAAAAACAAGCCAACTGGGATCTGGAAAAACAAAATTATTCTTAGAACTGAGGTCTGAGAGAAATTTCTCCTGTGGGTTCTCAGACAGAGGCATTGTGTAACAGTGAACAACCTATGTGCTCGGCCATATTCCTATAGTAGATAACACAGGGACACAATGACCTTCTCCATAGGCTGATGCCATAAAACTAAAGAGCAATTTGGGGTCAAGGAGAAGGATGAAGAGAGCAAAACACCGCAGTGTAGGTGTGCCACTCTGATGATCTAGAAAGATGTACAGGTATGGTCTACATATCCTCCAGGCTAACTTTCACAGTGTTTCTTTAAACCAAGCTTCTGATAAGCATTACTTAGCAGTGAGTTCAAAGTCATACTCTCTAAGACAGGTACCTGGAGTCCAACTCTTGCATATTGTCAATAAAACAGTGGGGGAAGGGAATAGGAAATATAACCATTCACTGGGACGGTAAGTGGAACTGGAGGTTGGACTGATAGTTTCTGAAAGCCTATCAAAGAAAGTTGATATGCAGAATAACTATTATTACTCATGTCTCCTTCATGAATAAAAAAGGAGGATGTTTTCCCTCATAGCATGTTTTAAGCAAGAAATTCTATAACCCACCCTTCACACTCATGCCAGCCTCATCTTCCTGAAATACAAATCTAATATTGTAGCCACTCTCCTCAAAAATTTTCAGTGGCTCCTGTGCCTACAGGATAAACTTCAAAGTCATTAGCATTAATGTCAGGCCCTTTATGCGGGCCTAATCCTGCCTTTCTAGTGTCACTTTTTATCTCTCCCTACACACCCTAGGATCCAACCACATCTCACCACTCAATGCTTTCCAAGTATGTCATATGGTCTCAGACCTCCTCTTCCCTTTGCTTATGTTCTTCAGACCAGGGAAAGAAGAAATCAGTGTCCAGTTTGTGGCAATGCCCTCTTGTGTTTGGCACCTCACTGCTTTTGTGACAGGATTATCTGTTTCTATTAAGATTCCTGCCTTCTATAAATTCAGCCTCAGCCTCCATGTCACAAGACTGAGCTCTAAATGAAAATGCTCCCATTCATGTGTGTGGAATTACTGAATCACTCACCCTACAATATGGCTCCTTCTTTTTTATATCCTCCTGCTGGATCAGTCTCAGGCCCTGGACACCATTCTGCAGGCCTCTCTCATATAAGGCCTGAAGTCTGGGAATTTCTTCTTGTTCAACAGCTACTATAAGCTTTCAAAAAAAAAGAGATAAAGAATATGGATAGAGTTAAACATACCATCAACTATGAAAGACAAAGTCAATAGAAAATCATAAATTATTGCATGGCTCAAATTGGGTTGATTTTTTAAAGTTTTTTTTTTCCTTCATGTATCTACTTCTACCTTTCTTCATGACCTCATTTTCCTCTCCTCTGAAAAAAGTTCTCATAAGAAAACTGCATTAAAACAAAATTTCCAAAGGTGAGATGTAGCCTCAATTTCTGCTTCCGCTATCAGTCGCCACATGCATCTTGGTCATATGCAACTGTTATCACTACCACTCCTTCAATCCCAGACTGGAGAGAAGCACAAGTTGTTTAGTCTTTACATAAAAACAACAACAACAACAACAAAAACAAACAAAAAAAAACAGAATGGCCTTCTTACTTCTATAAGAGAATGTAAAATACCAGAACATTAGAAAGATAGCCAGTATTCAGTAAAATGGAATATCACTAACACAAACTATCCATTTTATTTCCTGGAATGAAGTACAATACAAAGTATTTAGTAATTCATTCTGTTGCAGAGTAAAAAGAGGCAAGTTTATTAACTTTACTAAGAATCTTTTCTTATTTATTTCTGGGCAAATATCAGTTTGAGGTTGTTTTTTCCTTAGTTAATGAGCTCCCAGCAAAGAAAGCACTGGTGCATAGTCACAGGTAAATTAGAATTCACAAATCACTATTTCATAGCAAGGAGTCAACAGAATTTCACGAGACAATACTTTTAATCAAGGTATAAGGTTATTTAAATCAACAAATACTTAACCTTAAAAATAGAAGTGGAATCAAGACACTACCAAGAAAGTAAAAAGACAACCCAGTGAATGGGAGAAAATATTTGCAAATCACATATTGTAGATACTAGCTATCCAGAATATATAAAGAACTCTAATAACTCAACCATAAAAACTGTAAATACAGTTTTATATCTTGCTTTTTTTTTTTCACTTAATGGCATGTTAGGACCATTTCCCCACATCACTTAAAAAAAATCTTCTTAGCATCTTTAATGGCAACAATGAACTTGAATTCTTAAAAATTACAAGGAGAAGACTTATAAGGGAATTTTATGAATAACTGTATGCGAACAAATTAAATAATCTATATGAAATGGACAAACTCATAGAAAGACACAAACTTCTGAAACTGACTCAAGAAGAAAAACAAAATCTGAATAGACCTGTAACAAGTAAAGACATTGAATTGGTAACTTTAAAAATCCCCACAAAGAAAAGCTCAGGCCCAAGAATGCTACCATATGTTTAAAGAAGAATTAATACCAATTCTTCATAAACTCTTCCAAAAAACAGAAGAGGGAATACTTCCTAACTGATTCAATGAGGCCAGTATTAGTCAGACAGTGACATCAAAAGAAAATAAAACTATAGACCAATATCCCTTATGAATATTGATGCAAAAAAATCCTGAACAAAATACTAGTAAATTGAATGCAGCAACATAAAAAAGAATTATATACCGTGACCACGTGGAATTTATTGCAGGAGTGCAAGATCAATTTAACATACAAAAGTCAGTTAGTGTAATATATCATATTACTAGAATAAAGAACAAAAACGACATGATCGCCTCAATAGAAGCAGAAAAGGCATTTGAGAAAATCCGATATCCTTTCATGATAAAAAAAAAAATCTCAACTAACTAGGAATAGGAAGGAATTTCCTCAATCTGATAAAGCTTATCTACAAAAAACTTGCAACCAGCATCATACTTAATAGTGAAAGATTTAATGCTTTCTCCCTAAGATCAAGAAAAACACAAGGATGTCCACTTTCACCACTTCTGTTCAATACTGTATTAGAGATTCTACCCAGAGAAATTAGGCAGAAAAAAAATATAAAGAGCATCCAGATAGAAAAAGAAATAAAACTATCTTATTTACAGATGACATGATACTGCATATATAAAATCCTAAGGAATCCACACAGCAAAAAAACAACAACAACCTGTTAGACTAATAATTGAGTTCAGCAAGGTTGCAGGATAAAAGATCAATATAAAAATCAATCATAATTGACTAAATGTATATTTATATACATATAAAACGTACACACATATGGCAAAAAAATCAATCATATTCTATACATTAACAATGAATAATCCAAAATAAAATTAAAAAACAATTATCCTCACAAAAGCTTCAAACAGCATAAAATACCAAGTAATAAATTTAACAAAAGAAATGAAAGACTTACAAACTGAAAAATACAAAATGTTGTTGAAAGAAATTAACGAGATCTAAGTAAATGGAAAGATATCCCATGTTCATGGCTTACAAGAATTAATATTAAGATAGCAATACTCCCCAAAATGATCTACAGATTCATCACTATTGCCATCAAAATCCCAACTGTCTTTTTAGAGAAACTGACCCTAAAATTCATATGGAAATGCAAGGGACCCAGAATAACCAAAACAATCTTGAAAAAAAAGAACAAAGCTGGAGGACTCATATTTCCTAATTTCAAAATATAATAAAGAGCTACAGTAATCAGATAGTGTGGTACCAGCATAAGGGAAGACATACGAGGTCTGACAATTAAGTTTGCAAACTTGTTAAACTGATGTTGCTAACTTTTTTTTATATCAGAGGGATTATTTATTAAGAATTTGTACCAAATGGACAAACAGTTAACCAAGTTTATTATTTGGAAGTGTTAAATGGCTGCGTGAAAAAGTTAGATGAAAAATGACCTGAGCTTTTCACCAACAATTCATGGCTCTTGCATCACAACAACGCACCAGCTCACACGGCACTGTCTGTGAGGGAATTTTTAGCCAGTAAACAAATAACTGTATTGGAACGCCCTCCCTACTCACCTGATCTGTCCCCAATGACTTCTTTCTTTACCCAAAGACAAAGGAAATATTGAAAGGAAGACATTTTGATGACATTCAGGACATCAAGGGTAATAGATGAGAGCTCTGATGGCCATTCCAGAAAAAAAGTTCCAAAATTGCTTTGAAGGGTGACTAGGCACTAATGTTGATGCATAGCTTCCCAAGGGGAGTACTTCAAAGGTGACTGTATTGATATTCAGCAATGAGGTAGGTAGCACTTTTTCTAGGATGAATTCGCAAACTTAATTGTCTGATCTCCGTATATAAATTGAACAGAACTGAGAATCCTAAATATACCCTATTACATTTATGCTCAACTAATTTTTGATAACGGTGCCAAAACAATGTAGAAAGAGTAGTTAGTCTTTTCAACAAATGGTGCTGAGACAACTGGATATCCACATGCAAAAGAATGAAGTTGGACCCCTTTCTCACACTGTATACCAAAATTCAATAAAAAGCGATCATACACTAGCAGTACAGGTGCAAGTTGTGGGGTAGGGAGCTCTGTTTCTGGCAGCAAGGTCTGGGGAAGGGGCAGTAGGCTGGCAGCAAAGGTGGTAAGAAGCCCTGAAGGATCCCAAGAAGCAGGCCAAGGAAACGGACCAGGATGATAAGGCATTCAAGCAGAAACAAATAAACCAAAAGGAGCAGAAGAAACTCAAGAAGCTAAAAGTGAAGGCTGTGGGGAAGGAAATTCCACATTTGGGGAAATTCCACATTTGGAATTAAGAAATCTGGCAAAAAATAAGTTTGTGCTTGAGGCAATCGTGATCCTTAATTCCATTCCTGTTTAAACATCTGGATTCTCTGCCATACCATCTGTTGGCACCTATAGCTAGAATGAAGTGTTGTCTTGGAGCCTGTTGTACATTTAAGAATAAACTTTAAAAAAAAAATCATACTGTGGCTCATTTTCTCTTTAGCTCTTCTCACTCAGCCATTTCTTCCTTAGCTGTGAGGTCAGGAAAAACCCAGCCCAGAATCCTGCCGAAGTCTGTTCTTCAGTCTTTGTTCTACCCCGATTCTATATCACCTGGAATTAAACCAGCTCATTTGGGGAAAAAAAAAGTGATGATAAATCTAAATGTCAGAGCTAAGGCTATAGCAAAACTCTCAGAAGAAAACATAGGAGTAATTTTTCATGACCTAAGTTTAGGCAATAATTTCTGAGATATAACACTAAAAACATAAGCAATAAAAGAAAGAGATAAACTGGAGTTCATAAAAATTAAAAACTTCTG